TTCTATTATCTCTATTATCTTGGTTATCCTCGCTATCCGAGATATAACCGTTATATCGCTAATAACTGAGATATCGAGATATCTAGGATCACGGAGATCACAAGGATTTTCATGATTCCAAGGACTTTCTGGGACTTGTGTTACTAAGAACTGCGGCGATCAACAAACTCGATTTCCCTTTCACAACGTACGTACGTACGTACGTACTATCAGATGATATGCAGTATTACGTATTATAAGCAGTGTTCCGTCAATCATTTCGTTTGCATGAATGAGTAAAGTTTGTTAGTGTTACACAAGATGTGCTTTTCATTGATATGTGCGTACGTACGTACGTACATCCTGATAACGATAACGCGATAACGATAAAAGTTGAATTCCGTAGTTAGTGATTTAAATCAAATAAACAAAATTGCCTATCTGTTAAACAAACTAGTCTCTTTGGAATAACCGGTAAACGGGTAAACTGTGAGGCCGTATTAGTTAACTGAAATTAATCAAGCTAACCGCATTAATTAAAGTCAACTAGGTAATATAAATACACTTGGCATATTGCATTGATTCAGTTCCGTAAGTGCAACGATCATCTATCAATCGAAATGCTTAATAAGTTACTTATTTTTTATTAATTACTTTCAATTCTCATTAAATTAGCCTATAACAGTCATTTATCAACCAAAATGCAAAAGGATTTAAGCTAAGTAATTCGCTTATTTATTTTCTTATTTGAATTGACCCACTCTGCAAGCATGAATATAGGCCGTTTAAGCCTTGTACAATTTCTTATCCATGTTGATTTTAGTATTTAAGATAAATTACTCAATCTCATTAAAGCTATTTTAAATATAAAATAATGATATGTGTATATTTCGTCTAAATAAAGTTTTATATTTGAGTGGAATGTTTTTTTTTTGAAGGCATTTGATTGAATAACGGATTTTATACGCAAAGAATTTTAATTTCTTCCCGGGAATTATCAAATTACGCTCAATAATATTTTTAAATCTTTGTGAAATTATAGAAAATTATGTGTTTTATAAAAAATTTTTATAAATCTTAAGACATATAATGTTTAATCTAAATATTCCACAAATAAAAAATGTAGATAAAATTCATCTATATACTGTACAACAAGAGAATATATAACCATTGCCGCAGAATCCTAATGAACACAGATCAAAATGAAATTTGGGTTTCTTTCGAGCCCTCTAAAACTCGCTTTTTTCTATTAAACTTATTAAACTTTTTACACTTTATCTAATCAAAACCCTAAGGCCTAAAAAATGCACCTCAAAAAATTTACAATGGCACAAAATTTATAATTAAAATTTCATTTTAATCTGATTTCATTCTTAACTCGCCACAATTACGATTACTGATTTCTTAATAAAACTATCAAATTTCTAATTAAAAAGAATTAGTCAGAAAAGTAGATAATATCGTGTAGATGTCCTTTATGACATCCACTAGTACCTCTAGATTGATTACAAGAAATACAAATACAACCAGGTAAATTTGTATTACAATTATCAGATTCACAGTATGTTATCAAAGTGCAACCAAAATCATCTTCAGATTTTTTGCAACATGAATATCTTTTCCCACAATTATTAGCAGAACTATCCCACAATTTATCACAATTACTACATTTCCTAATACAACCAGGTTTTGTCCAATCTTGACCGCATTCTGAACATTCATAAGCGGTAATTAACTCCCCTACAATTTTTCCAGTAGTAGCACCTACAATTCCGGTCATTGATCCAATAACACCACTAGAAGCTGCGTTTTTTTGACCAGCCAAAGCAAGAATACTACCTACTGCACCACCTATAGCACCACCTATAGCACCACCTGTAGCCATAGAAAAATTAACTTTTGTTTGATCTTGATGAAATTTATCTGAATGAACACAAATTACAGGTCCAGTATGATATCCTTCCATAACATTAGTATGAACAAGTTTTGTAGAAAGTTTGTGTCTTAAATCAAGATGACATCTATTTTTAAAAAGTCGAGGATCTCCTTTTTGATCACATCGAGAACATTGTGCTCGAATCAAACAAATATTAAAACTATTAAAGTTTAAAGAGATTTCGCTCACAAGTTGTTGCATCTTTCGCATAATTTCAGATTTAGAATAAACATTTAAGTCTTGACGTTGAGTTGGTGACATATTCTTATAATAAGGTGAAGGTACATCTTGAAAATCATAAACGAAACAAGGGAAATAACGAACTTTAAAATCATCATTAAATGAAAGATTTTTTTCTTTAGCATAAGATTCCCATACAAGACGAGCAGCTGCTTGAGGTCCTTCAACAGTAGATTCATCTAAAGCCGAGCCTTGAATAACAATCATGACATTTTTCCAAATGTTTAAATCTTTATTTACAAGATCCGAGTAATCGGAAAGTTTTTGAATAAATTTAGCACCACGTTGAAGTTGTTGATTACATCTACGACTTTCAAAGCAAAACCATAAAATAACATCAATTTTAAATTTGTTATTAGTAGAATATTCTTGCATTAAAGAAAGTATATCACTAAAAACTTCATCATCATCCATTCCTTCAGTATCGGAAAAACCAGGTGTGTCAATGTATATAAATAATTCATTTTCGTAAATTCCTGATATTCTTGTAACGGAAGAT